CACAAACATCTGCAATAATTTTCAAGTCCTACAAGATTTTTTGTTGTTGTAAGTTTGAAAGCTTCTCTTCAGGACTGAGCTGGAAACTGGTTTTTAGAACATGTCTTCAGAGGAAGAGATTGATTTTAATATTAATATTTGTAGTTGTCCAGTTAGTGATTTTCAGGCTAGGAAAAAAAAAAGTGCAGACATGGTAGACATGAGATGGCAGCATTTATAGCTAGATTTCCCCATGTTTATATGGATATCATCCTCCTCCATGTTGACTGGTGTCTCTTTTTGAATTGCAGATAGATAAAGAAATAGTCCTGCTAAGTGTACTTAAAGAGCCTGTCAGCCGTTCCATATTTGATTATGTCTTAAGATCAAAGGATATCACGAGCCTCTTCCGACACCTTCATATGCGTCAGAAGAGGAGGATGGGTGCTCTCTCCGACTGCCCACCCCCAGAGGACCCTGCCATCGCACAGCTGTTGAAGAAGCTTCTTTCACAAGTGATTGTTTTTCATTTGTACTTTGAAAATCAGGCTTGAGATTCTTGATCTCTGTCTCCACAGACCCGAACCTTGCAGTGGCTGCTCTGGTGCACTCCCAGTCTGAGGTTCTGATCCTGCAAACCATTAACTTTATTGATTTCAGTACATGCTTATAGGAGAATGAGTTTAGGAGTTAAGGAAGATTCTGAAAAGATCTGCCAGATTTAGGGCAGCCCTACATTTGGATTTCCCCAATACATCCTCTTTTTAAAGACTTCAGCTGTGTGCATCAGATTTCTGTGGTGGTATACGTGCTGCGTGTTGTGTTGGAGAGAAGAGCATGCATTTGTTGAAGAGATAGACGTGCAAGTAACAAGGCCAAAGGGGGCTGGAAGGTGTTGAGGCTTATATGTGAAGAGGGGTGCACTAAGAATCCCCCACACAAAGTAGTGGGAACTAGGAGGAGGAAGGACTGCAGCTGAGTGTGTGTGGGGAGAGTTTCGGGATATTTTTTGCCCCTTTTTTTCCTGTGGCTTGTGGGCTGTAAGCGTGGCCTAGGTGGCAACAAGCCAGACTGCACCAGGCAGTGATCTAATATTAAATGCTCTTCTGCCCTTTCACTATTGGGGTTGGAACTAGATGATCTTTAAGGTCCCTTCCAACCCTTACCATTCTATGATTCTATTCCTAGCTCTGTTCCTGAGGAGGAAAGATACTCTTATACTACATCAGCTTACCCAAAGTCTTGTATGAGTGACAGACTGATGCCTTGAATTCTGGGGATGCGTTCTCTCCTTCCACTGCTGAGCCAGTCATTAATCTTACTGCTTCTTACATCTTCGTGCCTGGATACGTGTTCTTGTTCAAAAGTAAATCATAATATCTTTTCTTTTATTCTGTAGGGGATGACTGAGGAGGAAGAAGACAAACTGTTAGCACTGAAAGACTTTATGTTAAAATCAAATAAAGCTAAAGCCAATATAGTGGATCAGAGCCACCTGCATGACAGCAGTCAGAAAGGGGTGATTGACTTGTCAGCTCTGGGAATAACTGGGAGACAAGTGGATCTTGTTAAAGCAAAGCAGGACCCTGATGACAAACGTGGTTGGTATATTTTGTGATCTGTATAGATAAAGTATAACTTTTCTTTCAGGGTCAGAGAATTAAGTCTTAAATTTACTCAGCAAGTGTTCTCGGTAATTCAGCCTACATAACTATCACAGTCCTCACAGAATTTCGAAGAAGAAAATTACTGCTGCTATTTGAAATGTGAGGTGCTGGAATGCTCTCTGGATCAGTGAAGGATGGGGGTATTTTTGCCCCTGAGAGTATTTAATTTAGTTTGACTGCATTTGGAGTAGTAACGTGCACAGGTTGTTTAGCTGATTGTGACAAACAGGACTCTAGTGACCCATGGTAGCAGTGTAAGTTATGAAGGCTACGTTACTGCTATTTCTGTTTCCTCTCAAGAAGTGATGAGCTCTTTAACTGTGAAAATCCAGGAGGTTTTCTTGAGGTAGGTTGGAGAAAACTGAGGCCTAGGTGTGATGCCGAAACAGGACGGCACTGAGGAGTGCCAGCTGTTGCTCACCCACCAAGTACGTGCTTTTTGACCTTAGGGTTCTTCAGCTGCTCATCACCCATTTTACTTTGTTGCCTGCTCCTGTTTCAGTTTGAAAAACCTCTTAAATTTTGTTGTTCAGCTTTGAAATCCACTTGCTGCTAACTCTGTTCCAGTTCTCTGTATCCTCAAAATCAATCTCTTCCAGACGGTGAGCTTCCTCTTTGCTCTGTCAAGTTTGTAAGGCTCTCCTCTGTACACTGCTGCTGGGTTCTGTGTTTTCAGGTGTAAGCATACAGAAATATCTGAAAACCAGCTAGTTATTGCCATCTTGTTTACAGAATTAAGATGCTAGTCTGCAATTTTTTGCATATCATTTTAAAGGAAAGTACATAAGTACAGGGTTTTTCAGTTTTTTGCATCTTGTGGAGTCAGGAGTGAACAGAGTTTAAATGTTAGTATATGAAGCCTGTATTTGAACTGATTGACTTAAAGGTGTGAAGACTTTGCAAGTGACAGTTTTAGATTAACTTCTTCACTGATTTTGTCCAAATTTAATTTGTCCCATGTTTTCATTTTGCTTTCTGTATTTTACAGTTTAAAGTGACTCCAGAGGAATGCTGAAAATAAATAAAACTCCTATTTACAGATAACATTGTTCAATCTACAGGTGGTGTGATTGTGATAGAAAATTGATTGTATTTGACCTTGACAATAATTTGCATACTGTACTATTACAAATTTATTCCTGTCTGATGCCAGTAATGGAGTAACTCTCATAAGAAAAAATTATGTGGAGTCTAATCCTGCAGCCTTCTAGATCCAAAATTTCCCTATACCAGAATGACTTATTGCATGAGTCAACTATAGGATTAAGCTGGTGTAAACAGAGCACTTGCCACGTGTGTTCTGTTTGCCTCATAAATCCCTGTCAGCTGGTTTAAACAACCTGTCAGTATGTTTTTCTCTATTAACTATATAAATAATAAATTAGCATGTAAACATTGGACTCCTATGTGGTCTGAAAGTAATGACCAGCCTGAGTGAATACGGTCATGATTGTGGTTTTTTTTCTCTCCCTCCTGATTGCTTATAGCTAGAAAACACGTAAAGCAAGATTCAAATGTAAATGAAGAATGGAAAAGCATGTTTGGGTCCCTGGAACCAACTAACATCTCCCAGCCAATACCCAAAGGACATGGGCAAACTGCTGATCCTGAAGCCATCCAGGCTGGGAAACCTCTTCGTTCAGAGTCCTCAGCTGGCATTTGTGCCACTTTGTCATCCTCCCCACAGGTATTGCTGAGAAATACCATCTTCACATCTTAAACTGAAATGATCCTGTTGTTTTAGAGCCAAGTGGGACTGTAGGGATGTGGCGCTCTTGGGTTTTTTGGAGGTTATTTTACCCTTGTGCTATTCCCTGGCATCTTCTCCAGCAGAATAGCTGACTTTCAAGTTCTTGTTTTTAAAATAGGGATTGATAGAGGATGGAAGTTTAGTTACTTGAACAGAAGAGCTTCACTAACAAATAGATGCTTTTCATGAAGAAATGGGGCTTTGTGGATTAGCCAGTTACTAGGTAAGCTGTTCTGGCAGGGAAGACTTTTTTTCCTCAAATTGCACGCTCTGATATGTGTTGTGAGGAAGAGGAGATGTCATGATTTTAACTTGGAACCGGTGTATCACGTCACAGCTGCATTTAGACATCCTGTGCCTGTAATACTTAATACTGGCTACAGAAGGATGGGCTGGGATCCGTGCAGGCTGTGGAGGCATCTCTTGACACTGAACACTTCTTTCTATTCTTTTTCTAGTTGGAGATTGACTTCTGATAGATTTAAATGAGTGTCCACTCTGAACCAAGAGGGAAACACTTCATACTTCTGTTTTTAAAGCCCAATATAAACAAATAATCATTTGAGAGCTAACCTGTAATTCTGTCAGTCTTGAGAGCAATAGCTGCTTCTGTAATAATCACATTAAGAGGTGTGCACAGCACGTTATAGTTTCTACAAAAAGAATACAGACTAGTCAAACAGGGTGAAATAGATGAATGGTGAAGTTTTTATATAGATAATAATTTTCACTATTTTTAATTGTTTTCATGCAAACATTAATTTTTTTTAATGCTAATTCCTTGCTAATTGATCCAATAAGAAAGATTTTTTTTCCAGTTTTCTTCAGTGTGACCCTGTAATCATAAGAGCAGGATTTACCTATGTGTGGAAGGTAAGGCATGTATTTTAAGTGCTTTTCTCCTGCAGGCATCTGATGGAACTGTTGTTCAACCCAGGAAACCGACCTTGCAGGTACTGAGCAGTACAGCATCCCCATCTGCACACCAGTTACGCATCACCACTTGCAAAACTGAACTTCAGCAGCTGATCCAGCAAACAACATCATCTCAAAAAAAAAATGCAAAATATGAGAAAAAGGGGAAATTACTAGTTTAGGAAATGTGCCTGCTGTGCAGAACACCTACTTGGAAAAATACATGCATGACCTATGAAAGAGGGTCTTGAACAGAGATCTTTACCTTTGCAGTAACGGACGCAAACCACTGGTCTGAAGCCCGGATTGTGTGCTTTGTTCCAGTGAGTTTTCTGAAGCTGGTTGGTTGTAACCAGGCTTATGGCAGATAACCGGCTGCCCTGTAACAGCCTGTAGCTTGGCTTGGGCAAGGGCTGAAACATTGTGTCGGCAGGTGCGAAATGTGTTTTGCCTGGGGTGGTTCCAGATTTTCGGCTTTCTTGTGAGTGTTGTAACCTCTTGGCCAGATTTTCTTACCCAAGGGCACATGTTCTGGGGTGGGTTGTTTGAGCTGCCCTTGTTTACGAAGGAGCCTGACCCCGTCAGCAGTGGTGACAGCGATACAGTGCCCAGCCACGAAGAGAAGATGTGTGTTCCCATACTACACTCTTGCTTTCAGAAGGGAAGGGGAGACATTTTCACATCTTGTTCCCTTTTCTTTGCCAGAAAGGAGCAACTCCCAGGTTTTGCTAATGAGGGCTCTGGCAGCCACTCTGGGAGAAAACACATGGTTTCAAGTCGCAGTTGTCTTCCTATGGCCTCAGCCTAAATTTTGAAGCTCCAAACTGAGATTGGGGTTTAGCCAGATTAGTTATCAGCGTTTTCTGTTGGCGTTCTCCACTCCATGCAGTTGTTGCTGGGTATCCCGTGTGGAGATTCCCGAGTGTCCTCTACTAAGGGCAGTTCATGTGCTTAAACTCCAGATGCTGGGAGCAGAATCTGTACCAGCTAGGCTTGCGGCAATCAACATAGTGATGCTAAAGTCTTTTGGAAGATGTCGCATAAATGTGCACACCTGGGCGCGTACAGCTACCATGTCTAATTTAAGGGAAATAGTAGAAAATCATCAGGAAAATGGTCCAACCAGATAGCGTTTGAACATAGCTAACCTTGACGGAGGTTGGCTAAGCGGTGTGTTTGTCTTCTGAAGAGTTTTACAACCTATGGAATAACGTGTCTCAGTACAAGCAGCTGACCTGCTCTGCAGTACAAGTGAGCGAGTGCAAGAAAAATGTTCATATTTAACGTTTGTGTCTTATTCTGAAATTTGCTGTGGTCTGTCCTTCATTATCTTCGTCTGCTCTTAATCCTTCACTATAGCAGATGCATGTGAGAAGTGCAGCCAGATACTTTTGCGTTGCTTATTTCAGAGGAGGAAACATCACACAAATGTTGGCAATTTCTTGGCAAGAGTTATTGCATGGCAGCTCAACTACTCAATTTGTTTTTAAAGTTCTGGAATAGATTTTCTGTGATATTTAGAAGAGCTGTTGTTTCATTTTGTTAGGTACCTAAGGCTGGCAGTGTACCAGGTAGTGTAACACTGAGTCTGTCACTTCAGGCACTCTGCAGACAATCCAGGAACTGAAGTCTGTTCAAACCTGTTGCTCATCATGTGCATTGTGGGCTTTTATGGGCTTGCCAGTTGCAGCACAGCAATCTGCATAGGCTGATAGCAGGAGAACTGTGCGCTGGTGTCTCTACAAAGTCTACAAAGAAGGGCACTTTGTGTTCTCATGAATGTACAGGGAACTCGTCTAAAAGAAAACTCTTACCCAGAACTGCCAGTAGGGTTTAGCTTAAGAGCTGAGCAAATAGGCTTTCGCCTTTAGTACTTAAAATCTGTTAGCTCTGTGTTGTCAGTGCCTTCTGTGCTTTGCAGCTGTAATGACCATACCCCGATATAGCTGTTGGTGGATGGGATCAGGGGATTTTCTTGTTCCTGTTAAATTATAAAATCAACACCAGACTTTATGGTTTCGTTTTTCCCCGCAGGATGGCGTCCCAAGGGATTGTTGGTAGCTCACCTTCATGAACACAAGTCTGCGGTGAACCGCATTCAGGTCTCTGATGAACACTCCATTTTTGCAACTTGCTCAAACGATGGCACAGTGAAAATTTGGAACAGCCAAAAAATGGAAGGAAAAACCACTACGACCAGGTAGATTTAAAACTCATAGGATTTGGGGGCTGCTGTTTTAGAGTGCAAAATAAATTAGAGCAGGGAGAAAAATATGAATCACTTGTGGGTGTGCTAGAGATCTCAATAGTGAAATATACTGGTGTTCCTGTTTGCGTGCAACTATAAAATATTAGATTGCTGTTTCAATTAGTTAATGAAAGAAAAAAAATTGCTAGAAAATGCAGAGGGACTGCTTTGCAGTTGTAGTAATTACAGGCTTTTTGATTTCATTTCTGTACAGACATAAATACATTCTGGCGCTGCTGTTTAAAGCCATCTGAGGTTTTTGGAACAAATTAGGTTTATGCTGTACTGTCTCATCCACTGATACTTGATGCAGGAAGGCTGTATTGCTGGTTGAAACATGGGTGGTATGGGGCTGACCATCTCTGAGAGAGAGATATCTTTGGGAGAAGAGGATGTCTGTCTCAAAGTACTTTAAAAAAAGACGTAGTGGACTGCAGTGTTGGTTAAATAACAGTAACTACAGTATACTACTTGGATACAGATCTAGGTTACACTTTTTCATTTTATCCATAGACAAATGTGTGCATTTACAGTTGGAGACTGCCATAACTTAGGGGCTCAAAGATGAGGAGTTAAGCTTGCAGAGGCATCTTAGGCTATTTTGCTTTCTGATTTTGGAACACTTAGAAAATGTTACTTTGAGAGGTCTCTGAAGAGTCATTGGTTTTAAGTAGTTGTTGAAGAGAAGTAATTTTCTTTTTAACATGCCACAAAAAAAAATCCTCTTTTTTCTTTTTTTCTTCTTTCTCTTGCTCTCTCTCTCTCCTATTTAGATCAATTTTGACATACTCTCGGATTGGAGGGCATGTAAAGACACTTACATTCTGCCAAGGCTCGCATTACTTGGCTATAGCTTCGGATAATGGTGCCATCCAGCTCCTTCGTATTGAAGCTTCAAAGCTCCCTAAATCTCCTAAAATTAATCCAATACAAAGCAGGTATGTACTTAGAGCAGTTAAATCTCACCACAGAGCTCAAGCTTTTAGTGTATCCCTCGATTAGATACCTTGATTTGCTCCAGGCTTCCTGCTGGCTGAGCCCAGGCTCTACTGGAAGGCTGTAATCCATGATCTTTGCCTACTTGATAAAGAAGGGTTGAAGGGCAACCGTGCAGGGCTGAGGATTGATGGCTCTGGGTCATTGGTGCCTCCTGTGTCACTGGGCTTATTGTGAGCTTGAAACAATGAATCAGTCAGTCTGAATAGTTCTCAATTCTTTTATTTACGCACGGGGATTAGTAGTTTCTTACCTCCTCTGTTACGATGTTAATACTTACAAAGTGATTTTGGAGATTCTTTTACAGATCATTAGATAAATGTTTACAAATGTACATTTTGTCGTTTGGCCTCAGGCCTGCAGTATTTTCTCCGAGGCTTTTAGTGTGAGTAAGGTGGCAAAGATATGGGGGATGGGATGCTATTTAGGGGATTCTTTGGGGATGGTTTAATTCTTTCTTACCTATCGCCGTATGAGCAGTTTTTGAATATTGGGTGCTGATTCAGCAGCTTAATCTTCCAGCTTGAGCGAGGGACATGTCCAAGCACAAGCCAGTCTAGAAACCACCTCAAAGACCTCTTTTCTGTCCAAAGTAAAAGTAAGGTGTCTGTCTCAAATGTCCTCTCTTATTTGGGATCAAGTTCAGAAATGCAATAAGCCAAATCTAATGGAGATGGAAACTACAAACCAGGTTTTCCCTTTTGGTATGTACTGCATTTGTGTCTTAAGGTCTCCATTTGCACACACAGTAAGAGATTTGACAGTGCTGGCAGTATAACATGGAGAGGGGTGTTCCTGCCTGTAAACTCTGGGTAGATGAATATCTGATGAACGTGGAGCATGAATAGGAGAGAAGTATCAAACACACTGAGAGACCCAGAGCAGAGAGCTGCATTTGTTTGCACAGAGCTGCGGACAGCATTTTGCTAATGTGTAGAAGGCTTGTGGGTCCTGTCGGCAGAGGGATTTGAGAGAGCGTAAACATCTGTTGTGCTGCTGTCAGGAAGTTGTTTCTGGTAGATGCCTTGAGAAGTGACATGAAGAGGAAAATGCTGCTCGGCATTAGCTGTTGGAAGGAGTCTTAAACTTGGAGGGAGTAGTATCTGTTTCTAAATTAGTCTATTCTTTTAACACAGGTCCTTAGATTTGAAGGATGATGGCTGTGTGGTGGATATGCATCACTTCAATTCAGGAGCCCAGTCAGTACTGGCTTATGGTACAGTTAATGGATCTCTGGTTGGATGGGATTTGCGATCTAGCAGCAACGCTTGGACGCTGAAACATGATTTGAAGTTAGGCCTCATAACTTCGTTTGCTGTGGACATACACCAATGCTGGCTGTGTATTGGTAAGGCTGTATTTCTTGTTAGCTTCCTTCTTTCCCCCCAGCCCCTTCTGGTTTTCCTTTACCACAACCATACCTCAAGCTTTTGCCTGATCTGATTTGACTAGAATATGCTTTTCTCAAACAAGAGGAGAGGAATACCTCCTGAGCTATTTGTGGGAAATATTCTGCCCTCTACTTGAGGCTGAAGCCCATCTCCCTAGGAACAGAGCCCAAGGCTATGGACAAAACCCCATGTATTTATCTCTGTGACTGTGGGGAGCTTTTTCTCACCAGGAACAAGCAATGGTACCATGGCATGCTGGGATATGAGGTTTCAGTTACCAATCTCCAGCCATTCTCATCCTTCCAAGGCCCGAATCAGACGCCTGCTCATGCATCCTGTCTATCAGTCCTGGGTAATTGCAGGTAAAAGATGTCTTAAACTTACCTCACAGTTGTTGTGGGTTATGATTAAAGCAGCTTCTGTTTCAGCTTCTGCTTCAAGCCCTGGAGGGAGTTGGTTGGTTTCGGGTTTTTTTCTCTTCTTTGTAATTTTTCTTGTGCTTTGTTTGGGGAGAGGAAAAAGGGAAGGTTTGTACTTGTGTTGTGCCACTGTGCTCTTCCTGGCTTTTTGAAATTAGAAAAGGAGGGGGGAATAGTGTTAAGCTATTGTGAAAATGACAGCCTTTACAATTATCATCATCTGAGGATTACAGCTTTCATGAGGGTCCCTCCCTGTGTGCTGTTTACCACATCACTTTCAAAGGACAAAATGTTATAAAAGATAAACCCCAAACTCATCACATGCATTGAAGTTGATGGGAATTCTGCCTTCAGTGCCTCTGTAGACCAGAGACTGAAAGGTTGCCCCATTCCAGTTCCCTCTTGAATCTAACCCAGCTGTGTCATGGGTCAGAGCTTTCAAAAATCTCCCAAGATTCCTCACCTGGTATGTTCACAGCTGCTGCATCCTCGCTGCATGTAGTACTGTCATATACTTTTAAGTGTTTGTGTTAGGAACACATTCCAAAATGGACACATAGCTTAAACTAATCCTACAATAACAAAATTGATAAAAGTTCCTGTAAAATGAGAGTAATTTGAGTTTCTTATTTTACTTGCTTCTTAGGATTCAGTTCTTATTTTAGTTCTTAACCAGCCTGGGAGATAAATCTCTTGAAAAGCCATATGAATAAAGTAAGCTTCACTGTGCTTTCTAGTTTGTTTCCTCCCTGCTAAAGAATAAATCAGTGACAAAGTTCATCACTTTGGATTATTATTAGAAAGCCCTTGCCTGTTAGGTTGCTGCCAGGCATGTAAACAATCCCTTTAACAGAATTCTTTGCCTGTCCACACTAAACATGGGTGTGGAACTTCATTGAAGCTACCGAACTCTGTAACTTTGGATTGCTGTCTCACCTGCCCAGGAGTAATCTCTGAAGTCCCTGATGACCATGCTGAGCAGACCATCCATCCTTCTCAAAGAAGGGTGAGAAGTTATGTAGGGAGGAAACTGAGGTTTTAATACCTTTTAAAAAGGCTTGGAGATTACAACAGGTTTCATGTAAAGTCTCTTAAATGCGGCCCTCTCAACTCTAGTGAAGCTTCTACCAAGTGGTAAACCCAACAAAATGCATGCATGGCTTTACTGCTAACACAAGACTAACATAAATGCTGCAGAGAGCAAGTGGAGAGTGTCTTTATCTCATACCCTCTGTATCATGTCAGTAGAACAGGTAGCGAGAACCAACTGACCTGGTTTATATTTTTTGCATTGACGATATCATTCCTGTAGCTGTTCAAGGCAATAATGAAGTCTCCATGTGGGATATGGAAACTGGCGATCGACGCTTCACTTTGTGGGCCAGCAGCGCACCTCCTCTTTCAGAACTGCAGGTCTGTCTCTTTCTCTTCCTGTTCTGTAGCCAGGGCAGAACAACCTCAGACTCCGTGCTGTGTGTCAGTACGATTACCTGTCTCCGTGGCCTTGCCAGTTTGGCACCAGGAACTTGCCCTGGGGTTTATTTTGGCTCCATAACTGTTTTGCTGTCAAAATTAAATCCCCTTTGTAAAACAGCAGCGTAACCTGAATCTTCACTGATGTCTTCCACTATATGTGGAATGTGCTTGTAACATTCACTTGCTACATCCAGTCACGTTCTTAGAAAAGCAGTGAGCCGGTCAAGCCTGTACAGATTGTGGCAAAGCCAAAATTCATGGCATAGCATCTGGTACTTGCTTTTATTTGTTGTTTCTGGGATTGTGCGTACTTCTGTAAGCACCTGCTCTTTCACACATTCTTTCCATAATATAATGTCACTACTACACTCAGCTGTTAGTTTGAAACATAAAGTTCCTTCTCTTCAAGCAGTTAATTTGGGAAGTAGAAATCTGGGATATCTTTCTTAAAACACAAACACTTACACAAAAATAACCACAGCTGCTTCTATAAATCTTGGAAATGCAGATCTGGAATCTACCTCAACTTGAATTTTTACATGCTACAAAGATCACACATTCAGTTCATTTGCGTCACGCACTTTGCACACAGGGAGCTTGTGGTTCAAGCTGGTTTTCTGTTACACGTCTGTCCCTTAATGCCTTTATAGCATAAAAATTTGAGCATCCGTGTGCTTTTCAGCATGATTCGCCTGTCTGATTCTGTTAGAAACAATCTCTCTCGTTTGCCATCACTGAGAATATAATTTCCCAAGATTCCAAAGAAGCATTAAGCAGACTTAAAGCTGTTGCATTGCTCCGTGAAACATAAGGAATAAAAGGTATTAAGATGTGGCATGTTAACAAAGTAACTTGGCATTCGTCAGAAACATTTGGGAACTGGATGGATGGATGAATGTGGTAAAGAACGTATTCCCTTTGTGAAACATGGCAACAGCTGTTGGTGATAATTTATTTTCATGTATCCCTTTTCCCTATTAGCCTTCTCCTCACAGCATCCATGGAATATACTGTAGTCCAGCATCTGGTAATCCCATATTGCTGACAGCAGGCTCGGACATGAAAATAAGGTAATAAAACCAAGAACATTTTTGTTTGACCTTCCCCTCCACCCCTGCTGGTGTACTAAATTTTGCCAAGTGTTGCCTAAGTAAGCTCCAAGAAAACAGTAATGCTGAAGATGTGTTCATCAGTAAGCACCAGTGAGCTGAGAGAATTGTTCTCAGCCAAAAGTAGTGCAAAACTCAGTGCTGCTCTGAAACACAATGTGTACACTTCTGTAAAGGTGATTATGGGCTACGTGACAAGAGACAAAACAATAACTCGTGTAAGCTTGCTAGGAATGTTGATTTCCCTGCATCACTCTTCCACTAAGCGTGAAAGCATATAGCATTTGCGCCCACTCATTTTCATCGTAAGAGCAAGACACTTTTAAACAGCTTTATTAAGCTGATAAGATTTAAGATCTCAACTTGATTTTTTTTTTTTTCTTTGTGTTTAGGTTTTGGGATCTAGCCTACCCTGAGAGATCGTATGTTGTTGCTGGAAGTTCTAATTGCCCATCTGTTTCCTACTACAGGAAGATAATTGAGGGCACGGAGGTGGTTCAGGTATTTTGCTTTGTTTGATGGACACCTATTCTGCTTGGCCTTTGGATGGGGCCGTGGGTTACATTAGTTGCATGATGGCTTTAATTATAACTATCTCACTCTTACCTTTTATGGATGGAGTCACCATTGCATTTTCAGGCAGTTAGGAAGAAATTTGTTTAAAAGAAAAAAAATCAGTTGTTTTTGGCATAATTAGACTTACCAAATAATACATGCAGAAGCTGGAGTCGTGTTTCTTTTGTGGTATTGAAATTTAGTGTCTTAACACTTTAGATTTTGATCAGTCTTTGGAATGTCTTTTGTGTAGGACCTTAGCAAGGCATTGAGAGATGTATTGGGACCAAAATAATACGGTAGCGGAACTCTGCAGTTTTTATTACAGCCTGCAGAGTGACTTTTGAATGGGCAGTGTTGGTAGTTGTTGAATAGCACAATGTTTGGTTTCAGTGCAATTGAACGAATGCGACTTCAAAGGTGACTGTATTAAAAAAAAAAAAAGTCAAGTCAGTGAGAGTCTACCTGTGCACTATGATTTTTCAGTTTTTCATGTGAAGTTCTTAATTATGTTCATGCTATTGAGCCAGTTTTTATAAAACCCTTGGGAAGCTAAGATGTATGTGTCGCTGTAGCTCCCCCCTCCCCGAACTATCAAATCTTAGTGTGATTGAAATCAATATGAGAAAAAGCATTCTTTCC